TAAATACATACATAGATCATCCTTTTCAATTGATCTCATCCTTGACATCTGTTCAACTCTTCAATCCATCGATTCGATTCAATTCAATTGATTACACCACGGGGTAATCCATACCGTCGTTCGGCGGCCATGGAATACCGCCGTACGGCGAGATTTGCTTGGTGGTGGACGCTCGCCGCCAGATGGTCAGTGGCGCGGCGGTCGAACGGCGAGATCGCCTTACCGCCGTTAGACAAGCCATCCGGCGGCCTACAGACCGTTTCCGAGGAGATGTTTCCGACGAAGTTTATGTGCCGATCATTGGGGAGCTGATCGAGAGAACCTCTTCGTTCCCTCCCATAGCCACGCCATCCACCCCTGGTGGGTTAAGGCATCGATGTTGAGGAAGATGTGGAGGAGCTCCCAGACCAAAGAATGGATTCTGGGAGCTCTCCCGCTGTCAGAATAAAAAAGGGAAAGTGACAACCACGTCTATGGAGGCAATTGTGAAAACCGGACCTTAACTTCACAGCCTCCGGTTTCACATTCCTTGAAGACATTTCCTCTTACCGTCTTCTGCTCGCCAAAAGACTGGTCAACCTCTCGCCAGGCCCACCAGACGGCCTACCAGCCAAAATCTGGCCAAAATCCCAGCTTTTGACCGGAAATCAGCTGGTATAGCCGTACCAGCCAAAATCTGGTCGAACGCTGGGATTTCGGCGAGCGTTCGGCCAGATTTCGACACGACCAACTTTTTGCTGGTATTCCAACGAAAAGTTACCCCGTGGTGTACATATATCTACACCACGGGGGGACCCTGGGTCGAAATGTGATCCTGGGAGGTCGCACTATCGTCGGGTCGCGTGCCCGCCTCGCCATCAGCCTCAGCTCACCCGCAGTTGGCCGGCTGACCGCCCGGCTCGATGAGCCCGCAGGCACCCGCGCTCCGCCTCCACGTCAGCTTGAGATTGCCTTGCGTCCAGTTGCTGGCCAGCCACTGGTCGCCTATGACCTGTTTCACCCATCTCCGCACTCAAACGCTCATCGCCCTTCGCAGAGTCTCGATCCAATTGTTTCCGCTTAAGATGCCTCAAGACTCTCGCTCCCAGAGTATGGCCAATCATTAGTTCGACTGATACCACAAAATTCGAGAATCATTATGTTCGCAACCAACTAAAGCATGCACATGCAAAATTTCCGCTCGTGAAACAGAGATTTATTTGTTTGAGTCATATGAATCATACCTTCATATCAGACCCATGGAATACAATCCAACATGACTCATCACGATTAAAAACAAGTTCTTAACCGCTCTGTTTGAGGTTAATGAGTCGGATCCGCGGCATGATTCGAATTCCTGTCACACGTTTATAGCCAGCGAAAAGCACATAACGTCTGTGTTTGCCCTTTTCAATGATTGTTTGACCTTATCGAAGTGCAGAAACAAGGAACGGCAGCCTTACCGCGATCCTTGCTACAAAGAAACTGCCTGAACTATCACGAGTTTCACGTTTGAGAGGAAGAAAGATGTTAGATCCAATGAGTCAATTGGAAACCAGATTCCACTGGTTCGACCCAAGGCAAGAAAGATGAAAGCTCTGCTTGAGACATCATAATTTAGCGCGTGATGATAGCATGATGAAGGCTTGGTGCATGTTAGAGACGCAAAACTATGCGATAATCAACTGGGTCGATCCTAGATACGAAGGAGCTGCTTGACTCGTCGGAAACACGGGATGATAGTGTCACGCAGGCTTGGTGCGTCGCAGAGAGACGTGTTTGTTGGGGATGACAGAGTCAGATCTCAAACACTCTGGTTTGCGCAAGGAGCCACTGTGAACACGTTGAAAGATCATCAATAGTATTTAAAGCAAGCCTCATCTTTCTTTCAGATCTTCATAAATCCACACTGCACCTCCACTTCACCTTTCCGAAATGGCACAACAAACGCTTCCACCGAATCAATGTAATTTCAGATTCACAATTCCATCAAAGTTGTTCTGCTATAATAATATATCATTAGAGATAGATAGACTCACTCAGCCCGTTTTGTTCACCTTTTTTTAGACTTTGAATCACTCTCCGCGGATCCCTCCAACCCCAGTTGGAAATGCCTGGTTTGTGACCGGGTAATGAAGAGCTTTCGTCGGCACTGTCAAACCCCCCAACATCTGGAGGCTATTGTGCTTTTCGAAGCTCATATTGCGGCGCAAAATGCCACCCTGCCAGGGCTCCATCCTGGAAACCCACCATCGCCAGTTCATCCAATCAATGAACCAGTTGATCTTATTGATGACAATGGCCCCGAGGACCTTCAAGAACGGCCACCCTCCCCGTTTTCATACTTGCGCGCGCTCGAAAATGCAGACAACACTCAAGCCAACGACTCTGAAGACTCTGACCTGGAAGCAGACATCCACAAGATCGCTGAAGCTATCTGGGCCATGGAGCAAGACGGCGGGGCCGAAGAAGATGAAATGGTCGATGACGGCGCTCTTGAGGCCCATGCGCGTGCGGTTCCAGAATCATCCGAATGGTATCCTTTCAAAAGGAAAGAGGTCAGTCCCACATTCATGTTGCTAATGCTCATGAGGAATGTATGTCCTAATGATACCCTTCCTCCCTTTCATTAAGCACCTGGTGGCATTGTTGATCATCGGGTCGACACGAAGTATTTTATCTCGATCACAGTACCATCGCATCAGATCAATCTTGCGTATATGCGACATTGACCTGCCTGAATGGGGTGCTTTACGATCATTAAGCAAACAGATGAAAAAGAATTTTGGTCTAGAAGTATCTGAACGGGCCAGTCCTCACGGCCACCCTCTTTTTGGTTTAAAAGTACAAACCATCATTAGTAATGTATGTTTTTCATAATATAAAGGTATTGTCAGGACAACTTCTGAATCTTTCGTTTTGCAGGAACTTGTGAACCCTTTGGTGAGCCCGCAGTTGGTGTGTGTGCCTGAGTTACCCGCAAACAAGCCGGTGAACCGTTTTTCCCAGTGTCAAAAGTGGCGTGAAGGACTGAGCAAGGACCTGCGAGTTCAAATGGTTGCCGATCGTGGCAAGCACTATTTTATATACAAACCAGTCCGCACGATTACAGGACAACTTGTTGTCCTGGCTTTTTTCTTTCAACACGACGGAAAGATGATGGCCAAATGCCTCCCTGCCACTATTGAGCACGAGGATTTGGGCCCTCAAATTTTCATACCGGCTGAACCCGCTTTCGACTCACAAGCTTTCATTACTGTCGAAGTTAAAGATTTCTGGAAAACTGGTGCTGAATTAATTTGGGAAGATGGTCACAGGGTCTTCAATCTGGATCACAGCGCTCTATATGTATACCGTGAGTACTCTAATGAATTGCACCGCATATATATTAGAGTACTAAGATAGAATTTAATTTCAGAGGAAGCCCCAGATGGCTTTCACCGGTTTCCAATTGTGAACTCATGGCGCAAACAAGCAAATGGACATGTAATCAAACATATCCCGATCATCCTGTACTCTGACGATACCTCCGGTAATGTTTCCAAAAAGTGGAACAAGCATATGAGTGTGTTCTTTACACTCGCCGGCCTGCCTCCCAAAATGACCAATGAGGAGTATAATATCCACTTTCTTGCCACTTCGAACTGTGCTTCTGCCCTGGAACTTCTTGACGAAGTTGTGGATGACATCAAGTTAGGCCAACTTACTTTCACCACAGCCAGGTGGACAAATTAACTTATCAGAAATTTTTTTTAAGTTCTCACAGCTCTGAAGGTTTCTTCAGCTACGACCATGTGACTGGAACACAGGTTCTGGTGATGGTGATAGTGTTATGCCACCTCGGAGATGGTCCGATGCACGCAGAGATAACCAATACTACAAACCCGGCCAACACATTAACTCCTTGTCGAATTTGTGACCTACACGTCACACGTATGAGCGACAAGAAAACTGAAGCCTATGTGTCTGCATTCATCGGAATCAATCGTGCGGGTGAAGAGGTATGTTGTGTTTCTAAGTCTTTTTTGGTACAGTTTGATCAATGGTCCTCTTGATTCCAGGTATCTTTGGCTCAACGCGACTGGGATCTCACTCGCGCTAGGACGATCGACTTATGGGCTCTTGCCCAGATGCCTCGCACCAAGTCAGCTGTTGAATCGCAGGCGCGCAAGCTTGGACTGCGGGACCCCATGCTCGACTTTTTCATTAGGAAAGTTCAAAATTTCTACGATACTCAAGAGCCAAACAGTGTCCAGCAGCTTTGTGAAGGGCTCAACCGTCAGCTTGGGGCCCATATGTTTAATCCCATGCTGCGGCTTGAAGGTCAGTCATTGAATAGTTTGATTCCACGTGATTGTAACCATAAAATGACGGAAATTACTGGTGTGCACAGGTTTTGATGGGCACAAAGACACGCCGGTCGAGACCCTGCATGTAGTGCTACTGGGAATCACCAAATACCTATTCCGAGACATGATGAAAAACTTTGGTGTCATTAAGCCGGGATCAAAGCGTTATCGTGATTTGTCAGGCCGATGGCGAGCTTTCAATTCCAAAGGCCTCCACATGGCCGCAATTCAGCCAAACACACTGATCCAGTTCTACCAGAGCCTTGTCGGCAAAGACTTTCAAACAATCCTTCAGACGGTTCCTTTCGTTTTTTTTGATTATATCTCAACAAACAAACGGCACTTGTGGACTTCATTTTCCAGCATGAAATATCCCACATAGACGAGTATCTGGAAAAGATGGAGGCAGTCATCATGATCTTCTACAACCAACTGATTAGGACTTCGGCTCAGTGGGTAAACAAGCCGAAGTTCCATATGCTCAGCCACCTGAAGGACTCCATCAAACGATTTGGGCCGGCCATTCTCTTTATGACTCAAAAGTTTGAGTGTTACAATGGTGTGCTGCGGGCGGCTTCAGTTCATTCTAACAGAATGAGCCCGGGACGCGACATCGCAAATAGCTTCAATAATTATCAGTGCATGCGGGCTATCCTTTCTGGAAACACTTTTTATGATAAGGACCTGGGGGCGCGCTGTTCTGCTGGGCCTCAAGTACGAGGGCTCCTGAACACAGTTCCTGAATTGTCAAAGGCTCTCGGTCTGAACCCCAAGGCAAATCAGGCATCTGTTATCACCGTAGGACGTATGTTTTTAACTTTTCACCTTGTTGACGGGCCACATCCTAATGGTGGTAATATCTCAGCACAAGTCAAGGAACCTTTAGTCACTCCCACATACCTGACCACTCTAGGTCCATCTGTGGTGTGGCAGGAGTTCATTTCCTTCACTTTGGCCAACAAACAAACAGTCGAAAAAGACGACTTTGTCAAAGTGAGTGTCAGCGGTTTTTTTCATATGTTTGCATTGAATACTTACCTCATACCTTCTCACAGCTCAACGGCAGCACGGTAGTGGCACAAGTGGTGGCCATCTGGAAACCGGAAGGGAAATTGGCGTCCAAATCGGTGGTCCTAGTTAGGGAGACCCAACACGGTGGTATAGACCCGTTCTATGGCATGCGCCAGATCATCCGGAGCCATTGCAACAATTGGATCAACATAAGTGTCAGTTTTTCGCTCTCTCTTGGATGATGTAATGTACACTGTGTTCCAAACTAACTCATCTGTACTTTACTCAGCAAATACATTGCCTAATGAATGTGCAACACAATTGCAATCGAGATGTTTGTCCAGTGACTGAAGGCCCGAAGAAAAGGCTCGAAAGGCGCGAGACCTCAACACGTATCAGCACGGTGGCGCACATCGACAACAACCACTTTATTCTGAATAGCGCGAGCCACTATTCAGCCGAGGCCCATAGGCTGGTGGCCAATATTGACCCTCAACCGCTTGCGCCTGCAGATTGGGCTGAAGCATTAACTGAGGGATTACATACATGGTCGTCGATTCCGTTGAAACCACGTAAGAAACGTAATGTCAAGGGAAAGCGCAAAGCAACAGCGCCAGCCTCTTCCTCAGGCGATGAGGATTTGGAAGCAGAAGATGATTTGCACATAGATGACGACTTGGAAGTAGATGAAGAATTTTTACAAAATTATATGTGAAGTCTTTTGCGAAGAGTTCTCATATAACGAAATTTTTTATTTTGTTGTCACCACGAAATCACACCTCTTTGGCCTTGTCTTGTCTTTTCAACATTACCAGTTACCGTGTCCTTCCTGTTTTTGAAATCTGATCAGATGATTTTAAAAAACCATTTTGCTCTTCCTCTGCCACCTCCAGCGGGGCCCAAACCCGCAAGATCCTCATAAAGGTCTGATTGGTCAGTCATCTTCCCCGTGTTTGTCACTGTCCTTCTTTCCATTTCCTCACAACCATCGATCGGTGTAACCGGACTCACCT